CCGACGGACCTCCGCTGCGAGCCTCAGGATACGGGCACGAGCGGCGGCGAGGCCGGGCTCCGATGTCCGCCCTCCTCGCCCTACAGCGGCGCTGGCCCGGCGACCGCCTTCGGCCAGTGGATGCAGGCCAAGGCGGAGGACGGCTCACCGTCAGCTGGCCATCCTCGAGCCCGACCTCGTCGCGCTCGACACCATGGCAGCGGTTGTGCCGATGACGATGACGCCATGCCGGAGGTGGGCCCTCTGGCGCCGCCGCTTCCGGCCTTGCGTTTCGACCCTGAGGGCTTCAGGCTGGTTGCCTCGAAGCGCTGGCTGGCTGGCCGGGCGAGCGCATCAATGTGAAGGGGGCCCGCGCCGCTGCGATGGGGCTCCGACATGCCTGCCGCGCCCGCCGCAACTGCGGACGCCGCCTTGTTTCAATCGCGGGTTCCATGGTCTTTGTTGGCTGCCTGGATAAGGGGCGGCACAGCCGCTCAGCAGCCCTGAACGCACACTGCCGACGCGCGGCGGCCTACACTATCGGATGTAGAGTGCGTTGGATGTTGCGGTATGTCAACGCAAGGTTCAACGTTGCCGACGCACTGTCTCGTCGCTTCGAGCGGACCGCCCCCAACAAAGGCTACCTCCAACAGGATAAGAAAGACACTTCAACATCTTCCCCTTCTCGTTCTTCCTTTAGCAAGATAGTAGAGATAAGGCCCCCTGCCTCCTGGACTCGGCCTCGCAGGGCATCCGCCCGCCGGTGTCGAGAGTAATAAAGTGCCAGAAGTGCAGCCTCGAGAGTCGTGCGCCGAGCAATCTCATCGGTCGTCTTGCCCATCATGCACGTCGACGCCTTCGGCGACTACTCAAACCGCCGGCCCCGCTCTTCGCCTGGGACATGCTGAACTTCAGAGGCGGGCCCGACGTGGCCAGGGCTTTCTGGAACTGTTCTCGGAGGAGGGCGGGCTCTCGGAGGCCTTCGAGGAGCTCACCTGAGGACGTTCCCTTGCATGGACATCAAAGATGGGCCCCCCGTGGTCCAGCTCGTCATCTTGGAAGGTACTCGGAGGGGACTCTTTCGGCATGTACATATGGGCACCCCGTGTTGTGTTTGGTCTCGGGCTCGGCACAACATGCAAGATCATGATAAAGCTCGTCAGAAAGAACGTATCGGTGTTGCCTTGGCCCTGTTCAGTTGTCGTGCCGCTTACGAATGTTCAAGAAAATGAGTTTCTGGAGTATTGAGAACCCAAGATCCTCGGCTCTGGGACTTCGACCCCGTGCGGGAGCATGCAGGTCTGCCTGATGTCTTTCGCGTGCTACTCGTGCGCTGTAGTTATGGAGCGTCGCATCTGAAACCGACGGCGCTCCTCGCGAATTTCTTCGCCCTGTCGTCCCTGGCTTCTGTGTGTTCAAGAGATCACGTTCATGTGGAGCTTCGGGGTTTTGAATCAGTGACGTTGCCATCGGGGGCTCGGGTCTCTCGCAACCGAATTGCAGGCGCCGGAGCCTATCCCCGCGCCCTTTGCGCGGCATGGGCACGCGCCGCCTCCACGACAGCGCCTGCGGGCGCCCGAGGCAGTCCTGGCGCCCCGGACGGCGGTGACCTGCAAGCTCGGCTACGCGATGTTGTGCGACGGCCGGCTTCGCGCGCCCGTGGACGCCTCCGACTGGCTCGGCAGCGGCTTTAAGCGGAACCTGACCTCGGGCTCGTTGCAGCCGCCGACCCGAACACCCTCGAGAGCAGGTGCGATTACTTCCAGCCGTGCATCATTTTCGGCCAGGACTCCAACCTCGAGGCAGCCCGGAAGCAAGCGGCCCGCGCCCTCAGAGGCCAGAAAGGCCGCCGGCCGTCGCTCCCGCGCCTGTAACTTCGTGGAAGCCATCAAGGGCAGGAACCTCACCTTTGGACCTCGAGCCCCAGTTCCTGTCGATGGCGGTGTTGCACGGTTTGGGTCTATCACAGCGGTCTCCTTGGAACGATATGGAGCTGCTGTTCGGGGCTTTTTTTGATTGGGCCACGCGCGCAGAGGATCTCAAATGGGCCCCCGAATCCAAGATTGACCACTTGATGTGCAAGTATTTTGACGACCCCATGAGCGACGCCCGACATCCTGCTGAAGGGCGGTACGCGCTGTGGGGTTTCCTGGCCTTCTTCCCGCGGGCCGACGTTGCCAAGTCAGCCCGGCTCGTGAGGTCCAGAGAGGCGATGAAGGGCTGGGTTCGCCGGGCCCCAGGCTCTTCTCGACACCCATGGCCGCTTTGCGTCTTCTTCCCCTTCATGGTCGCTTTCCTGAAGGACGGCCACGTGGGCGCTGCGGTCGCCCTTGCCACCCAGCTAGGCGCCTACCTGAGGCCCTCCGAGATCTGCGAGCTGCGCTGGTGTTCAGTGGTTCGACCGTCTGTGCTCTCATCAAGACTGGCTCGTGCAAGATGGGCCGCGGTCATCGGGAACTCCGACCTCGGCGAGACCACGAAGACCGGCGAGGGCGACGACATGATCGTGCTCAACTCGCCGGGCCGCGAGTGGGTTGGCTCTGTGCTGGACATTTGAGTTCGGCGTAGTGGAGCAAACGCCAGCTCAGACGACCTTGGTTTCCCAAACCTAACCTTGGCTAAGTACGAAGCTCTCTTTAGGAAGTTTAGCCGTTCGCTCCTTGGCAAGCTAAGCCCCCTGGCCAGACACTCTGCTCCTAGTCATGACGTTTTCGTAGGGTCTCGCAGTCTTGCCTTAGTTCAGAAACGGGGCCGATGGGCCCATCCTAAGTCTGTGAAGCGGTACGGAAAGAGCGGCCGGCTTCTTTTGCAAGCGGCTCGCTTCCCGCGGACCTTGCCCGACGGGCTACGGCAGCGAAGGCCTCTATTTTTCAGTCATTTCAAGAGGGCCTCCAGTACATGCTTGTGGTATGGGAGCGTCTTCTGTGCAAAGCCTTTGCGTTCTTTCCTCGCGTGCTGTCTGTACTGCATCGCTTCGGAAGGATTCGAATGTATAGCTCGCCTGCTGCATGGAAAGAGTGAAAACAGAGATTCGAATTCGCCCCGCGTGGCAGGGACCTCTGGGCCGACCTAGAATTAGGAGAGGTGTTTCTGATGTTTGATTGTTATATCTCTCGCTTCGTTGAGGCCCGTTCACCTGTAATCTATTCCGCTCAAGTCTTCCCTCCCGCTGCCTCCCTGGAGCGTCTTCTGTCCAAAGCCTTTTTGCGTTCTTTCCTCGCGAGCTGTCTGTACTGCATCGCTTCAGAAGGATTCGAATGTATAGCTCGCGTGCTGCATGGAAAAAATGAAAACAGAGATTCAAACTCGTCCTGCGTGGCAGGGACTCTGGGCCGACCTAGATGTATGAGAGGTGCAAACATACATACATACATACATACATAGATTCATGCACGCTTGCATGTATGTATGCATTTATGTATGTATGTATGTATGGGAGCAAAGGGATGGCTTTGGAGGGCCTTTCCGGGCCATCCCTGGGGCCTGCGGGGGGGCGAGGGGAAGAGGAACAGGAGGAGGAGGAGGAGGAGGAGGAAGAGGAGGAAAAGGAGGACGAGGAGGATGAAAAGGCGGAGGCAAACTACCTCGTTGGGCCCTCGTGCGGCGCTTTTGGAGCTCTCTTGGGGCCGTGTCGGGGCCGTCTTGGGAGCTTTGGAGGGACTCTTGAGGTCATGTTTGAGGCTGTCGATCAAACCAGGAGGGGTCCTCGATGTCCGTCGCCCCCTGGAGCAATTCAATTCGCCTCTTGGGCCGCTTTTGGGCGCCCTTAGGGTCGTCGTGAGGATTTGCTGGGAGCCTCTTGGGCCATTTTGGGGCCATCTGTGAGCCCTCAAAAGCGAATCGGAAGCGCAAAGGCGAGACGGCACACATCATTGAATGTGGGTGGCGCGGCTGGAGCACGTGGCGCACGTGGGGCATGTGGAGCATCTGACGGACCAGGCGCGCCTGGCACGTCTTGGTCCGTTGAGTTGTTGGGCGCTTGGCGCACACGGTGCGCGCGACACGTCTGGCACGCGCGGCGCACTTCGCCAGCGTCGCGCGCCCGTCGCTTGTATTGGTTCCAGCAGTTGCCCATCGAACGACCGTTGAATATGCTTGGACTCGGGTGCTACTTGTGTATTCGGAGGGCGATTGGGAGTGAGCGAGGCGGCTTACGTTCGGTTTGTGGGTGGTGTGACCTCTCCCCCAACCCCCTCTCCTCGGGTCTGGAGGGGTCTCGTTGAAGCGTCCAAGATGGCCCCAGTTCTCTCCAACAACGCCTAAACGATGGAAGAAGGTAACCCAACATGACGTTGGATAGCTTCTCACGTGCCCCCAAGAGACCCCAAGGCCGCCCCAAGACGGTGCCAAGTGGCCATGGAGCCCAATGACCCCCCGAGAGGCCATACTTTGTCTGGTATTAAAGGGAAATCAATCCTTTGCCTCGTCTCGCCCTTTCGCTTCCGATCGGTTTCGGCGGCCCCAAGATGGTCCCAGGATCGGTGCCAAGATGGCCCAAGAGAGCTCCACGAGGGGCCCCAGAGGGCCCCAAGACGATTTCAAGAACGCCCCAAAAGGATTCCAATAGGCGTTTCTGGGGTTTAGGGTGGGTTGGAGTATGCATCGGCCCCTTTGTTGATCGATGGCCCAAAGGGGCCCCTGAAGGTTCCCTCTTCATGGCCACATGAAAGCACATGAAAGGCTTCCAACGCTGTCCCTAGATGCTTCCAGCAGGCTCCCCGAGGTATCTCATATGTTCTTCGCCTCGCTGCCTCACTAGATGCTATATGCTGACATGCGCCTCTCCTCCAGACAACTCCCCTGGGCGTTGTTTTTCAAAGGGCTGGTTGGGAAACGCGAAGATTCGAGAACTCACAACATCCTCCTCCCTCCACGTTCCTCCTTTCTCCCATCACCACTCATCCCTCTTACAGGTCCGCCAAGATAGACTCGCTTCGCGCGTCGCGGCCTTGGCGAGGTGAGCCAGAAAGCCCGAAGGGTCAGAGAGAGCGCAGAGGTCGCCCTTCTAGCGGCCCGCAGAGGACTGGCAGTGCCGATGTTGCGCCCCGGTGCCTCCAGAGGAGATGTTCGTGGGCAAGGAGCTATTCATGTCCTGTACATAACTCTCTTTCTCTCTCTCTCTCTCTCGTTCCCGCTCTCTCTCTCTCTCTCTCTATCTCTCTCTCTCTCTCTCTTCATCTCTCTCTCTCTCTCTTTCTATGACTTTTTTTGCGATATCTCTCTTTCTCTCTCTCTCTCTCTATCTCTTATTCCCTTTCTATATAGATATGTGTATGTATATGCGCATCCCCCCCAGCAGCCACTATTTTCCCATCGGTCGTCGAGGTGTTCACCCTTAATGTTTAATATCCGTTCTCCCTGCCCGTACTCCTCTTTACTGCCAGTCCTGCTCCTCCATCTTCCCATAATTCACCTCAGTGCGTGTTTTCGTTCGCATTCCTGCTTCCCCTTCTCCGATTCCTCATCATGCTCAGTTCCCTCATCGTCCGCCATCTCTTCAACCATCCCCTTCCGTTCTTCATCCCTCTTCCTCCTTTCTGCGTTGCTCGTCCCCCCTCACACACATATACATATGTATGTATGTATGTGTGTATCGTTTGAATCGCATATGTGTCCATGTTTATGCATATATACATTTGTGTATATATACATATATATATATATGTATAAATATATACACATATACATATACACACCTATAGATTCCTCTTCCTATATTTTTACAACCCCGGGCGGGGGGGGAAACCCGTCCCCCCCCAAAACCGGACTCCCGGGATCTGTGACTTTGGGACCCTTCGGACGGGCTTCGAAGCGGCCTCCCGGGCCTCGCAGGGCGTTTTGCCAAGCCTTCGCAGCACACCTAGGGCGATCAGGGGGGTCATCGGAGACGTCCCAGAGAACCCCAAGACAGCACAAGAGCGCTCCAAGAAGCCGTCATACCCCGAAAGATCGCTCCAAAAAGTACCAAGAGGCCTCCAAGAGCACCCCCAAGAAGGCCCCAAGAGGGAAGAATCATCGATTTAATGTTGGTTTTGGGGTGAATTTCGGGTTCTCCTCTTTTCGGCTTCCCGACGCTCCAAGACAGCGGTCTTCTGGGCGTCCGAAGTCGCCTGGGAGGCTCCAAAATCGCCCCGCAACCATCCGAAAGGGCTTCCAGGCAGTCCAAGAGAGCCCCAGAACGGCACAACAGGGGTCCAAAATGGCCCTAAGAGAGCCCCATGGCGGCCCAAGATGGCCCTGAGACACCCTCCGAAGCGTTCCAAATCGTGACCGGGGCGTTCAGGGAGACTGCGGTTAGAGGCAGGTTGGCCTTAGGAAGCCCCAAATGCCCCCAGAACACGCCCAGGAGGCCTCCAGAAGGCTTTAAGAAAGCCTGAGAACTTTGGTGAGGCCCCCAGAGGCCTTCCAAGGAGGAGCCTCCGCAAAAAGAGCTGAGGAGGATAGGGGAGAATACCCAGGGTATGGCGAGAATGCGGAAACATAAGCTTGGAGGATGGATAACGAACAACATGATTAGAACGGCGATGCCAGAAAAGGCAGCAAGGAGTTATCGCAAAATTGTCCGCTTGACCTTCCTGCCATTTCCGCTTGCATACCAATCTTCAAGGACCAAGGTGCATGGCGCGAAGCGCCACTGCAGTCTTGTATATATATATATACATACATACATACATACATACATACATATATATATATATATATATATAGATAGCGGGCGTCAGGGGCCCCGGGCATTGAGCCCCCCACTTTTCAACATTCCCCCCCGTCTCCCCCGCAACCCACTTTTGTCCCCAGCGCCGGCGGACCTTTTCGAACGCTCCAGGGCGTTCCCTGCGCCTCCAGGGCCCTCCTCGGCGCCCGCAGCGGACGCACACAGGCCGCCCGCCAAGACGTCCCAATAGCGCACCAAGCCGCCCAAGATGGCTCATGATGGCCCGAGAGGCCCCCAAGATGCCCCAAGAGTGCTCCGAGGGGACCTCCAAGAGTGCCCCAAGAGGCGAAAATCATGTATTTGCAGTGTGTTTTGAAATGTCCGCGTTCTCCCGTTTTCTGGTCTGCGACATTCCAAGATTGCCAAGAAAGCTTCCAATCTCGCCCCAAGAGAGCCCAGGAGTCCCCCAAGAGGCCCGCAAGACGGCCCAAGAGGGCCCACAAACAGCCTAGGAGGCGCCCAACACGGACCAAGAGGGCCTCAGGACGGGCCCAAAAGGGGGAACACGAACGCACAATTCTAGCCTTTCGCCGCCCCCAGGAGGCTCCAAGAGGCCAAGAGAAACCTCCAAGAGGCCCAAACGAGACTCCACGAGGCTTCAAACCGGCCCCGCACAGGCTTCAAAACTGCTCCACAAAGGCCCCTGAGAGGCCTTGCACGATCTCCCAGCGAACTTCCAAGAGGCCTCTACCCCACAACACAGGAACGGTGGCGGCATGGGCCGAAGGCACCAAGAGGCAACGCAACAAATATAGATGTCCAATGCGGTTGAGGCGGTATCACCGCTAGCACTCCGTGGATATTGAGACAGATGGCAGCGCAAACGCAGAGCTGAAAGGGACAATGCGGGAACAGACCATAGCCCAGAATCTGAACGTGCCACCAGGTCCAGAGTAGGTCCGATTAGGCCCTATGTCGGGAGAAAGGCATTGAAATAGTTGCAACACAATCCCAACAAGTGAGATCAGGAACAGCTAGTGGTGGACATGCGGATCCCACGGAGACTGCCCTAGGCTTACAGGGATTAGGGCTTGACGTGGCTTCCAGATTACCGCCGCATGCGAGCGGGCAAATCCTGCCCCCCCGAGACCAGCTTAGAAAACACAGTTGGTTAATTCCCGATGGATGTGCAAAGGCATTGTTCCGCAAACGGCATGGGCTTGGTGAGCATTGTTCTGCTTTGAATGTAGTTGTGTTGCATCGCATTGCCTTGCTTGTCATTTGCTTTGTAAGCTTTTGCTTGCAATGCTTCTCGCTGCATGGCTCTCGCATCTGGTTTTCATGGCACTGCATTGCATTGCAGTGCCAGTATGGGCACTCCATTATCTTCGCTGCTTTGCGTTGGTTCGCATTGCATTTTATGGGTGTGCCACTGTCTGTCATTGATCTCTGTTCGACCCGCGGTTGTTGTTGACGCTTCGTCGTAATTACCGCATGTTCGAGCCATTTGCGGGTAACTACTTCAGAGGATCTTTGAACTTGTCACGGCCCGGGGCTGGCTAGAACCTGAGCTCGCGCTCCTCGGCGCCCGCAGCGGACTCCCACAGGCTGCCAAGACGGCCCAATAGCGCACCAAGCCGCCCACGATGGCCCCAAGCTGCACAAGAAGCCTCCTCGCCTCAAGAGGGCCCCAGAGGCCCCCAAGAGGCCCGCAAGACGGCCCAAGAGGGCCCCAAAACGGCCCAAGAGGCGCCCAACACGGCCCAAGAGGCCCCAGGACGGCCCCAAGAGGTGCTCAAGAGGGGGAACACGAACCCACAATTCGAGCTTTTCGCCCCAAGAGGCCCCCAGGAGTCTCCAAGAGGCCAAAAAGAGGCACCCAGAGAAGCCCCCACGAGACCCACAAGAGGCCCAAAAGAGGCCTCAAGAGGCCCTAAACCCGCGCCCCAGAGGCAAAACTGCTTCCAAAAGGCCCCCGATAGCCTCACACGATGTCTCAACGAACTTCCAACAGGCCTCTCACCCACAGCGCAGGAACGGTGGCGGGATGGGCAGAAGGCACCAAGAGACAACACATATTGATTTCCAATAGGGTGGTTCAACGACGTTCGTGGTTTCGCTTTTTCGCGGTTCCAATTTTCTCAGGCAGCCCAAGAGCCCCCCTCAATTTTTCAAGACGGCCCACGAAGCCCTCGACAGGGCCCCAAGACGGCCCAGAAGGCCCCTATACTGATACAGCGCAAGAGCGTTCCAGGAGAGCCCCGGGAGAGACACAAGAGGCAGAACTCGAACCCACAGAGCGAGCCCGCCTCCCGAAGACAGCCCCCGAGACCGCTAGCAGCGCCTCGGCAGGCTTCCAAGAGGCCACAAGAGCGCCCGAGGGGCCCCATCAAGAGGCCCCCATAGAGGCTCCAAATATAACAAAAGACATCCGATATGCTTTCCAAGAGACTAAACCTCTCAAAGAGCCATCCAAGAGCGCTCCCAAAAATGTATTAAATTCTCAGCATGGTGTTGCCAAGCTCTTTTAGCGCCTCTCGAGCATCCCCCTTAGGCTGCCCTGGTTTCCCCTCGTGGCCGTCTTGCGCGCCTTCCTGGAGCCCTCCTGCGCGCTTGCAGCAAAAAGCAGCTGGGGGATTTGCAACTTCCGGTCTCTGTCGCAGTCCCACTACGTTCCTTCTCACATCCCTTCTCGTGGCTTTCCCGCCTCCTACCGCTTTGGTCTGTTACCTAACACCGCCTCCATGCCACTTCCAAGCTCCACCTCCTCATGCCCCTCTTGAATGTCTTCGACGGATTATGCCGGGTTGTCCTTCTGGCTTCTCAGTTTCATTTGGGTTACCCTGGATTGATTCCGTGGCCATTTTGCACGCTTTCCTGGGGCCGTCCTGAGTGCCCGCGAGCTCCTTCCCATCCCCCTTCGACACCTCCGTCGTCGATGGAGGAGCAGGGTTGGAAGCTCGAGACGTCCCTATGGTTTTCTTTGTGTTTGTGTTGTGTTACGTAGGGCGCGTTCAGCGCCACGGTTGGGTTCACTTCGACCATGGCCAGGCAGCGTTTAAGAAGGAGGAGCAGGAGGAGGAGGAGGAAGACCAGTGTAAACCCAAGAATCATCAACGATGTTGGAATCAACCCTCCCTCCAAGCTTCCTCTTCATAGGCCCCTACAAGGGTTCAATTCCATTGAGGGAACTGCCTCGTTGGAAGACAACCGTTTGAAGACCCTGACGCATGCCAAAACATCGTTCTCGGGATTTCAACGCCACGGATGAACCTGACTGTTGCGTGTTGACGATCCTGAATCGTGCCAGAACGCCATTCTTGGGACATTGGCACCGCGAATCAAGGTAACTGTTGCGCCCTCATAATCTTGAATCTTTCCAGAACGCAATTTCTCGTACGCTGATCATGGGAATCCGTTTTACAACC